CATTGAAAGTAGCTGTATAGTGATTGAATAGCATCACACTATCAAAAAATGTTTCCTCTTCTAACCCCACTTCCTAAAAATGTTTCATATACATTTCGAGATATGTTAATTTGGGGGAAGATACTACTTTTTGAAGGGTTGTGTTGCAAACTCGTGTGTGCAATAGATTGGAGAAACTTGACAAAAACACACTGCTAATCTAATACCCTGGAGTTGTATACATGGTTCTATTGCTTTTGTAAAACACTTAACTGGGTTACAAACACCACAAGAGCTCTTACTGCTGTATTCCCAGGACCTAAGTAAGTCACTTGTGGATGAAGGAGTGGATTGTAGTAGTGCTTACTCTGTGAGGAGAGAGCAGTTTTTCTGAGTAGTGCAGACAGGCAGGCTCCAAAGAGATGACAGACTCACTGGCTAAATACACCAAAAAGTGTTGTTGGTGACATGGCAAAGTGTGTACTTAGTTATTTTTCTCTATGTAAGAAGAGAATCATAAAGCTGAGATTTTTACACACATGTATACACGTATAAATGTATTGTATAATCAGAGATTTAAAAATATGTATCCCCTTTATTTCAGCTTCATAATATTTTTAAACCCTCAATTTCAAAGTCCAGAAGTTACAAGTCTTTCTTTACACGTTCCAAGGGGTATTTTATCTTGTGGAAAGAAATGTAATAAAAGGTGCTTTATTTTAAAATCACTTTACCATATAGGCCAATAATTGTAGGTTGTATAAATTGTTTTTATTATTATATAATGAAATAACTAAGGAGAAGATTAGTGACATTTTAACTGTCCTTATCCAAGTCTTTAAACATCTTATGCTTTGAAAAGTCTGTTTTGAAGTGTATTATTTGAATGGTGATGATGGTTACATTTCTCGAGAGGAAATATTTGACATGTTGAGGAACAGTCTACACCAGCAGTTATCTGAGGAAGAGAGTGATGAAGGAATAAAAGAATTGGTAGAGATAACGCTGAAGAAAATGGTAAGAATGAAATACTGTAATTCATTATAACCAAGCAAGTGGATATTGAATAAAGCTAAGATGAAGAAATTATTTCCCTCCATAATAAATGCAGCCTTTATGAGGGCAGGAGTTTTTGTTTGTTTTCTGCTCTGACCATTGTCTGCAATAGTGTCTGGCTGATAGTGGGTGCTCAGAAAATATTTGTGGAATTGCTGGGTGATTAAATGAATCACTATTCCAAATGAATGTTAATTTTCTCATTTTGAAATATTTTAATATTAGTAAAACCTCACTAATTGTGGGAAAGGCAGCAGGTTTAATGTGTATTAAATTGGATGCTATTTTAGTCTGTTTTCATGACCTTAGCCTTTCAATTCTTCCAAATATTCAATATAATAGAGTAACATAATAATAAAAGGTTTTTAAAATAGAGTGCTTGCTATATGCCAGGCCCTTCACAGAACTTTAATATATGAATTCATTTTATCCTCAAAACAATCCTGTAAAGTAGAAATTATCTCTATTTGGCAGATGAGAAAACTGAAGTACAGATCACAAGGTCAGATTTCAAGGTCACACTAGAAAATTGGGTGCAGAATTCAATGAAACCAATAATAGCCATTTCTAATGGACATAGTAATTTCTCTCCTTTTCTTACTGTGACCCTCCACCGGATACCGGTGAATATTTGTGGCGTAGGATTTGTGGGTTGGCTAACCCATGACTCTGGAGTTCAGGAAAGAAACACGATGTGGACTGCCGAGTCTCAGACTCAGCTAACACAGGTCCAGAGTATCCCCTTCCACTGGAAGTACTCACTCGACTCTGCCAGGGCTCAGGGGAGACTTCTCGAGAGACAGTATGTTCCCTCATACCAAAACCACCCTCTTCTTTTTTGAAAGGAAATGTTAGGGAGTGAACCTTTTCTGACAATTATTCAAACCTTTCTCTAGATTAGATTTTCAGCAGCCCTGATTTAGTTATACCCTGACATGCGGAAAGAAAAGCACACACCAAAGACGCATAAAATCAAACCCAAATTCACTGAAGCAGTTAAAGGCATACATAACCCACATACATGCTATCCCCATGATTTACTTAATCCCCCATAGTCCCTGTCACCAATGCTCCACTTGAGGCAGGTCCCTCTTCTCCTGACTTACTGTCATAATTCAGGTTGGGCCATTCTGCACTTCCTCCACACACTTCCCCGCCTCTATAGATCCCAACCATCCCTAAAGGCCTAGCGGTGGTCTGCATGACTAGTCCATCTTGGGCTGTGAGTGCTCTAACTCCCAGTGCCTCGGTCCTTATCTGAGCAACTCCACTTTTATCCTTTTTACATGATGAGCTGCCAATTAAGAGATCCTTTCAAGAACAAGTTCTAGTACTAAAAATTGAGCTTGAGAATTTTTGCCCTGTGGTCCTTATTTTACCACAAAAATAGCTGGACAATATGGGCTTCCTCTCTAGGATTATGACAACGATGGCAAGATCTCTTTTGCCGACTTTGAAAAAGCAGTGAAAGAAGAGAGACTTTTGATGGAGGTGTTTGGACAATGTTTACCAGAAGCAAAGGTACAGTGCCAACAGCCCAAAAAGGTTGAGGGGACATTTTAACGGATCTGAAAATAACACTGGTTGGACACTCACCTCTTTAGGGCTTCAACTCACTGCTACACCTCACAAAATACCACGTGCTGGCACGCACGTACAGTGCGATTGAAACTTCATGGCCCATGTGCAGAAGTCAGTATTTTGTGGAAGAGCCACACTCAAGGGGCCAAAGAGCCACATGTGGCTTGTGAGCCGCAGTTTGCCAACCACTGGTTTAGGCAACCATGAAGGGCTCAGCCCATCCTAGTGCTTTGGGAACCAAGACAGTAGTGACTGTTTAAGTAATTCTATTCAACAGACTTTTCTTTTGGGCTTGTAACTTCAACTGTATGCAAGTCCTGATTTCTTGTATGTTAATATTTCCCCAAAGAAAACCAAGGTATATTGGGCTTACTTAAGGGATAGAACAGTGAATAAGGAGTGGGTTCAGCAAGAACTGCTAGGAGAAAACTTGGTGTCTTTCAACCCAAATGTTGTCAAGGAGAATAAATTAAATTTTAAAAAATTTGAACACATATATAGTATTTTGTGGTCATAAGGTTTATTTTCATGTTCGGATGTGACAAAAGTTTTCTGAGCTAGAAGAGCCAGCCTAATAATTTATCTGATTCATTAACATTTTAATTCTGCCTCTGATCAACTCTGCTTTGCAAACATGACATAAGAAAACTTTTTTTTTGAAGAAACTTTTTATTCTGTGGTAATTTAGATGATTTTGTGAATGAACTTGCATAATAAGCTATCCTTAGCCATCTTAGCTCATCTCTCTTAATTTGTCCCAATGTAGTTTATTCCTTTTTTAAAAAATCCTCACCTACAGATATGTTTAGTGATTGTAGAGGGAGGGATGGAGGGAGAGAGAGAGGAGAGAGAAAAAAACATCAATCTGGCTATCAAACCCAAAACTTAGGTATGTGCCCTGACCAGGAATCGAACCTACAACCTTTTAGGTCTACAGGACAATACTCCAACCAACTGAGCCACCTGACCAGGGATATTCCCGCATCTTGTCTGGAAATATGTGGTAAAATGCAATATGTGAAAGGAAGACTTCTCATTTTAAGGAACGGTGGAGAGGAGTGCTGGCCTCCACATGCATATCAGGAATCCATTCAATAACAAAGAACCCACTTAGCAGCTCCTCCCTTTAGGACTGTCAGACTTGTGTGTGTGTGTGTGTGTGTATGTGAAAATACACCTAACATAAACTTTACCATCCACATCAGTTTTAAGTATTCAGGTTCAGTAAAGTACATTCACACTCCTGTACAAGCAATCTCCAGAACTCTTTTCATCTTGCAAAACTGAAACTCTGTGCCCATTAAACAATTCCCCATTCTTGCCCCCACCAGCTCCTGACCACCACCATCAGAATTACAATAAGACTCTCAAGTGGAGGTTCATACACCTTCAAGTCCTAGAAGGCTGTCCTAGACAGCAATGTATTCTTCCTAATTCTATGGTCAGGTCTCTAATACATCTTTTACCTGAACTCTGCAAAAAAAAAAAATATCTAATTGCCTCACAAGGAAGTAGGGCCAACCCCCTTGCCTGCAGCTTCTATTAAGACCATCTAGCCCTACCCAGTTCGGCTCAGTGGATACAGCATCAGCTTGCAGACTCAAGGGTCCCAGGTTTGATTCTGGTCAAGGGCACATGCCTCCAGGTTGTGGGCTCGAGCCCCAGTAGGGGCTGTGCAGGAGGCAGCCAATCAATGATTCTCATTGATGTTTCTCCCTTCCACTCTAAAATCAATAAAAATGTATATATATAAAAAAAGACCATCTACCACTTAGTGCCCTCCTAACAAGTCTGGATCAGTAAGTCATAACTGAAGATGAGCCTTCTTAACTGATATGTTCGAATTCAATCCATTAGGCCAGACCCTTAAGGATAGGGAGGAACGAAAAAGAGATGCCATTTGGTATGGGCCTTCTCCAGTATTTTTATCAGTAAAAATATGAAAACAGCCTGTACATAATTGGATTCCCATTATGTAGTCTACTAACAGGAAAAAAAAAGTGAGTGTGCTATAAAAGTAGTGGTAGAAGTCACTAATTTACAAATTCTAATTTGCTTCTGCCATAGATCAAATAAATTCATCTGATAAGTTAACTAAAGCATGTAAGCTTCTAATTTCAGCTTTGTTCTAATAGTTTATTAACTTTTTTTACTTTACAGATTTGTCTTGATTTTGAAGCCCTGGCATTCAAACACATCCTGAATTCTGTCTAGTTTTTTAATGTGAATCACTCAATACTTGCATTAAAATAAAAAACAGATCCTGGTTGCCTATCTTTATTTCCTTCAATTAATTCACACAGAGTTACTGCAATGTGAAAGGTAACATTATAAGAACAGTTTCTGTAATAGTAAGTTTGGATCAAAATAACATCTATAATAGGTAATAATAAGCAAATTTATTTAAGTTAGTCAACCACCTTGGATCTTGTAGCATCAAGTCAGGCATTCCCAGCCCTCTTTTCTCTTGCTTCCTTAACCATAGAAGTTGGAAACCTAAAGCATTCACTATTCCAGACTCCTCAGGAATGGTCATGGGCCCAGTTCTAGCCAATAAGATGTAACTAAAGTCACTGGATGGCGTTTCTGGGAAAGTTTTTATTAAGGGAAACAGTTGGCTGGCAAGTATTTTGTCCACAATAAACTAATTTTAAAAGGTGAAACTAAATTAAACAAGTGGCTTGAAAGAAATTACAAAGAGGAGTGCATTAAAAAAAAATAGCAGCAGTAAAATCTCTTCAAGAATTAAAACAACAGGCTAAAAATAAATACTCTTAGAAAATATTAATTTGCTACTAGTAATCTTAGATTCTTCTTCTTTGTTTTAATGGATGATTTGTATGCACATCTTCCAGCTTGTCCTCTGGAGGCTTTGGCACAGTTGTAATCACCTAGTTTTAGAAAAGAGAACCAGAAAAACTTAATTTTTATAGTAAAAGAATAAATAAACTATCAGAAGACATAATATATTCAATAGTTTAATCCTTGCTATCACGTTGCAGAGCTAAGCCAAGTTCAAGGTACAGCCTACAATCTAGGCACAGAGCAGTTTTCTGTCCAAACACTGATGGGAGTAAACAATTTTTTAAATTTAAATTCTTTATTATTTAAAGTATTACATGAGTCTCCTTTTTCCCCCTTTGACCTCTCCTTGGCTGCTCCCACCCACCCCCCTCCCAGCACATGCCCTCACTCGCCTACTGTCTATGTCCATTGGTTATGCTCATATGCATGCATACAAGTCCTTTGGTTGATCTCTTAAC